AATTCTTTAAGGTTGACCAAGGGGCTTTAGGCTTAGTCCAAGCCTGACGTAATAATACTTAATTACTCAGAAACCTGGTGTGTCCTGGGGCTGGCATTTTGACCCTTCCGTCCAAGTGGCATTCTTGTCTCTCGGGGTTATCCTAAATGCCAAAACGTCCACTGCATTGTCAGAAACCAAGACGGCTTTCTTTTCACCCTAACAAAGACACCAATCAACATAGATTTTGCTGTTAGAAAAAAATCCAATGAAATCATCAAAACTGCCTATTACCTATAAAAATGATGAGATTTTAATAATAAGTGTTTTGTGGCTTTGGAAATACAAATGCACTGTCTATCTTCTTGAATGCTTGATATTACTTTAGTCTGTAATCTATAGTCCACAGCAACTGTTAGCCCATGAATCTGCAATCTTTTTGTGTAAAAAAAAATAAAAATATTTACTCTCGAAACCATGAGATAGATTGTAAACTTGTTTGAGCAGGGCTCTGTTTACCTCTTGATTTTCACTACTTTATGCCAATTACCAGCTATTTCTCCCATTTGCATATTTAAAAGAGCTTCGGTAGTGCTCTGGTGCTAAAACAACGACAATGATCATAGTTATAGCTTCTTACTTCTCAAGACAATTTTACTCTATTACTCATTGCTATTTTTTTTTTTAAATATTATATTTATTGTTTTATAAATGTTCCTAAATGTAACAATTGACACTACAGCCAAATAACATTTAAAAAAATAATTTCATTGTATTTGTGTAACCATACAAAGACGAACAAACAGTTATTCTGGGTCTGAGATTACAGCAACATACAGGAGGAACTCTTTCAGGTAAACAGTTTTATTGATTTTTTTTTACTTTCTTTCCTATTTTTTTTCCCTTTTACTCATTGCTATTTTTAATATTTCCTATAGTTAATTAATTGCTGGAAAAATAAAGTGGGAAAATGTTATACTATATCTAGGAATTCAAAAAAACACTGTCCCTAGTCGAACAGATTTTGTGCACCTGATATCTCCAAATCGTGGTTGTCACAGAAGGACTAGTGATACGCTGTCCATTGATGGGTTTATTCTGTCCTGGCTCTTATTGACATAAAGATTATCATTTGCATTTGTGCACATGCACAACTTCCTTGTGTATAAAACGTTTAGTCCACTCTTTATACATGCTAGTCTTTGCACCTTTTGTAACTTTCCAAAATAACTTGTCTTCCTGACTCATTTTTTCTTCTTCTTCTGAGTTTTTTGTTGCTTTTTTTTATTGGCCGATTTTGCCGATTTTTGTTACTTTCACGTAACAATACAAACGCGCACCATCACATGGAAAAAAGATGCACATGCAGTTTGAAGGATTTTTATTCCTCAAACCAAAAGGAAGGCCATAAAACCTTCTTACCTGCCTCGAAAACCCCTGACAGTGGCGGAAATATTTGACAGAAAATCGTTTTTGTTTTTTTGTTTTTCTTAAATACATTCAAAGCAGCAAATTTGTGAACAAAATAAAAAGAACCAAATTGGAATAAGAAACTAAAATGGCAGAAATGGTCAAGAAATATTTTGGTGCAAATACGAATATACATCGGTGCAAATAGGAAATGCACCAAAAAACAAACCTAAAAAGTGTCCATGACTGTTTATTTGCAATTTCCATTTTTGGGCAGCAAAATTCCAGTGAGGAGTTCCTATATGAAGACTTCTCCTGATAGAATCCTAGTATAAGGTTCTAATATTACTAGATTAAGTGAAAGATAATGGACCAGTAGGTGGGACAACAGGGAATTCAAGCTGTCACATGGGTTAAGATAGTTATGTCTTACAGGCGCTGATAACAATAATTACGCTGTGTTTTTGCAGATATTTACCCATGGGTCTATATTAGAAATAAAAACCAAGGTAACTTGTCCCTTTGTGGAAACGTTTCTCCCCACTTTATGCAAATAATTTTACTCTCGTATTGAACAGAAATGATTTGGCATCACATAAAAACAGTTGTTTGATTGTTAGCAAGAGTGCAAAGGCCAGAAAAGGGGGAAATATTTCTGCTTTAGGAGCATGGAGAGCAATGTGTTATACGATGTATAGATGTTCAAACAAATATTTGTGCCCTTCTATGCTAAAAAAAAAAGGCAAAATTTCACAAATAAAACTAAAATACGACTAACAGACAGCACAAAATAAAAGAGTTTCTCTTATTGTGGAAATTCCAACATTTGAATTAGTTCTCACAGATCCCATACCTATGCACAAGTAGGAATGTTATATTGTAATAAAAGAACTGATTAGACCACTGCCTTCTATTGTTTACTACAGTCACTTAACATCTGAAAGGGAATACTAAGAGGCGTGGAAGAGATAGACAGATCAAAAACAAACTGTTTACGTAAAAATCACAATTTATCAAGTAATTATAGCTTTATGAAACATGACATCTACTGATCAGCAGCAGGGGAGGGTTGGCAGCCTTAGTTCTGAGGGGCAAATCCAGTCAAGTGGCCCATTGCACCACCGAACCAGCTCACCATCCTGGTTTCATAACGGATATAGGTGTAGCCCATGTATCAAGCGGCTTGACAAATTTAATTGTAATCTAGAATCCAGCTAAAAAAGTTAGGAGTAAAGTTTTTCAACGTCAAAAATACCATTCTAATGGGACACTATACTCGCCAGAACTACTACAACTTAATATAATTGTTTTGGAATCTATATCCTGTCCCTGCACACTTTTCAATGTAAACACTGACTTTTAGAGAAAAGGCAGTGTTTACATTGCTGCCTAGTACCATCTCTAGTGACAGTCACTCAAACGGCCTCTAGAGGTGCGTCTTGGGCCTGTGCTGCACATTGTGCACCACCTACATTCAGCGTGACTCTTAATTCTACAAGTAGAAATGGATTTATTCAATGCATCTTCATGAGGAGATGCTGACTGGTGCAGTATTGTGTATTGGCGCACATGCGTAATACCCTTCCATTGTTTTCCTAAGGGCAAGCATAGGATTGGCTGAGATCAAGACTGATTTATTTATCAGAAGAATCAAAGGGACTGGTTCCCATGAACTCACAATCTAAAATATATAAATGTGTATATATAAATGTGTATGCCTGCTAATCACTATAATGAAATCTCTCAGTCATTTCAATGAAACCAAACCTTCCAAAAATGTATACTCAACTGATGGGGGTTTGTATAGGCTAAATTAACTTTGTAAGCAATTAATGCATCAAAGATATATACACACTACTTAAAGGGAAACTGTAGGCACCCAGACCACTTCAGCTAATTGAAGTTGTCAGGGTGCAATTACTCTTTTGTATTTAGCCTGAGGGATATCAGCTCTGGGAAAATGTAAGTAAATAAAGGGTTACCAACTTTTAACTCACTGGGGAGGGGGGGGGGGCAGAGAGAGTGATAATGCCAGGAATGCAGCTATGCCCTATAATAAGTACTAAAGGGTAACGTTCATTTTCTATATCTGAAAATAATTTTTAAGCAAATGTTTGATGTTTTCACTCAGAATGTTTTATTTCGCAATACAATTTTATGATACTTTTTAGAACACATAAAATAGTTTTTACTGTTTATACCCTTTTCTTTCTCATCAAAGTGGAGAAAAACAAAACACACTAAAGTCTTTCATAATAATCCAATAAATGGGAACAGATCTGTTAGATGCATTCGTTTCATATCTCACTCTGGAATTGTCACTGTCCCTTTGTGTCCAGGAAACTTATTTAAACAAACGACTGTGCAAGAGAAAACAGGTTTGACTTCTGTAACAGGTATTGGTACTCGAGCCTCGCCCACTGCAAACCTACAAAAGCACCTGTACAGTTATTCAAAAATGTCAGTACAGCACAAGGAATACAAAGAGTAACAGAGAACAAGAAACAGAACTGATCCACGATGGGAGTGTGGATCAAATTAGTGATATTATTTTGCTGCTTAATTTGTAAGTTTTCTACCATCTTTATTTTTGTTCACATTAATATATTTGGGTAAAACAGTTTTGTATTCAATATATTTTATTTATTTATTTTTTTTTCATTTTTCATTGAGGCATAAATATATTTAATACAATTTTCTGTATGAAGGGATGATAAATAATAACATTAATGAATTATGTCCAAATAGAAGAATGATAGTCAAAAGATCAGAGAAGCATTTATCACTTAATATCAGTAATTTGGTTGTTTTCTAATTGAGTTTTTTTTTACCATGTATCAAATTCACTTTATAAATGTATTTTCTATAAATTTATATGTCAATGCATTTTATGACTAGACATAGCTTTAAGCACATATAGCATTGCTTTTATCCTCTTTTATCTAATTAAACCTAAAATATTTTTTGAACAAACTCTGAATATTTAAATTTCCCATTTCAATTATTGACTTATTTATGCCCTATCTTATTTTTATTTGTTTATGTATGTATTTATTTAGCTTACTGATATTATATCTAAGTGGGTAAAAGTATTTCAATTTTATTTTCGCACCTGTAAAAAAATATATAAACTGGGTTTTTAATCTATTTTGGGGGATTTTCTATTTAGGAAGTGATTTTAATTAATGAAAGTGTATCCAGTGTCTTTTGCAAAGAGATAAGATATACATTAATTTAATTTATTTACTTATGATATATTAGTTTATATAAGCTAAAATAGTTCAGTTGTAAATGTGTCTCAGTGTGTGTTTCTCTTATAAGTTTAACCCATAGACTAAAGGGTTTACTCATCAAACAGTAAAGTGTACTACATTGAAAACCGAAATGCTAACTTTAAAATTTAAAAAAGCTGATGTGGAAAATTGATAAAACTCAGCTATAGCCATAGATGGAAAATTCTAGTCTGAATTGTGCAATTCGATTTTCAATTCAGTATTCGTCACTATTTTTTTTAACAAACCCTGTTATGTTGATCAGTAGTGATGTCCCGCCACGAACGGTTCGCTGCGGACTCATCATTGAGTAAACTTTGACCCTGTATCTCACAGTCAGCAGACACATTCCAGCCAATCAGCAGCAGACCCTCCCTCCCAGACCCTCCCACCTCCTGGACAGCATCCATTTTACATTCATTGTGAAGCTGCATTCTTAGTGAGCTGTCCAGGAGGTGGGAGGGTCTGGGAGGGAGGGTCTGCTGCTGATTGGCTGGAATGTGTCTACTGACTGTGAGGTACAGGGTCAAAGTTTACTCAATGATGAGTCCGCGGCGAACCTTTCGTGGACATCACGGTTGATGAGTCCGTGGCGAACGGTTCGTGGTGAACCGTTCGGGACATCAATATTCAGTAGAAGATAACAGAAACACATGCATTTCCATTAAAAGAGTCATGAAACATTTTTATAACTCAATTAACCCCTTAACCCTTTAAGGGGTTTAAGTCCCTATTCTCCAGTGCCAGGAAGACAAATCGTTTTCCTGGCACTGCAGGTCCCCTCTCCCTCCTACCTCCCATTCCCAGTTGCTGAAGGGGTCAAAACCCCTTCAGTGACCTACCTGAGGTAGCGCCGATGTCCCTCGGCGCTGCTTCTGGGTCTGCCCACGCTCCTCCCCGTCACCACATCATCCAGTGGGGGAGACAGATCATGCCCAACGGCAGGGGAGACCTAATGCACATGCGCGGCAATGCCGCGCAAGCGCATTAGACCTCTCCATAGGAAATCATTGAAAAAAATTTCAATGCTTTCTTATGGGGATTTTAGCAACGCTGGAGGTCCTCACACAGCGTGAGGACGTCCAGTGATGCTATAGCACAGAAAACATGTGCTATGAAGCAGGAAGTGCCCTCTAGTGGCTGTTTAGTGGACAGCCACTAGAGGAGGAGTTAACCCTGCAAGTTAATTATTGCAGTTTATGAAAACTGCAATAATTACACCTGCAGGGTTAAGGGTAGTGGGAGTTGGCACCCAGACCACTCCAATGGGCAGAAGTGGTCTGGGTGCCTGGAGTGTCCCTTTAAGGACACAGCTTCAAAAGCTTTTCTTACCCTTACGGACACAAGCCATTTTTTCATTTTTTTCAATTTGTATCTGTCTTTTATTGCACCAACACATATTATAGACCGTTTTTTAGAGGGCAAACAGGGCTTTAATTTGATGTGACATATAAATAGATATATTGTCATTTATTATAAAAGAAATGCCAAAAAATGGGAAAATAAAATAAAATTAATTTTTTTCACAGTTTTGGCAATAATAGCGTGTGCATAATATGTCCAACTTAGAAAAAGTAATTCAAAATAAATTCATTTATGTGTCTTGATTTATAGACTACATAATGTGTGTAGGATTTCAGCTTATTTTGAAAGGTACAGGTCACAAAATACAAGGACTAAAATAAACATTAGTATGTTTGTCTTGTAGGTTTAGTAGCCATCACAGAAAACAAAATTGCCACACAAAAGTATATATTTATATAAAGTAGACATCACAGGCTATTTACCTAAGGTTAGTTTGCCACTTTTTACGTAGCCATTTCCTCGCTAATTTCTGCTAAATATTTGAGTGAAATTGTGTTTTCTCTATTTTGTCATATACACATATAACAAGGTTTTTGTAATGTGTATTTCATTTGAGATGCAGCCATTCAGGTTTTTTCTAACTTTGAAGTTTTACGCTGTGTCCATGTTCCATTTTGGAGTAGTTTAGCTGGTTGGTTATTCAAACTTCCCCACAAACACATACTATTTATTTTGATCATTTTTTTTCTAGTTTGTTCCAGGTGTAGTGGTAATGAGCATTTTGTCATGTATTTTTTAACTTTTTAAAACTTTTTAAAACTCGTCATTAAACTTTTTTTTACTTCAAAATTGTAAAACTTTCTTAACTTTTTTACACTTTTAAAAATTTGTATAAACTTTTTTTTTACCGTTATCCCCTAACTAGCAGTAAGCAGCACTAACAGTAAATTCGCCAACTTCCTATAACTCCCACCAACCCCAGTTAGCAAAATATATCATTTTAAAATATTTAGATTAATTGATGAAATAAAGTGATCCTCTGAGGGTTAAAAAATAAATAAAAGTTTATCCTCAGGGGTTAAAAAATCAGATCACAGTACAATACTGTGATCTGTATTTTGATCACTGTAGGTAGTGATCAACTGGCAGGAAAGGGGTTAATTTTTATTCGGACTGGGTAAATGGGGTGGGATTTTTTTTACTTTTTTTAAACGTTATTAAAACATTTTTCTAAAACTTTTTAAAGTTTTTTTAAAAACTTTTTTTTTTAATGTTAACTCCTAGCTAGCTTAACACCAAACTCCCCAATTCCACACTAACTTTTTCCCACCCCAGCTAGCTAAATGTATAATTTAAAAATCTTTAAATTAATTAATAAAATAAATTTAACCCCCGAGGGTTAAAAAAAAATAATAGTTGATCCTCAGGGGTTAAAAAAAAATCAGATGACAGTAAAATGTAGTCCCTGCCAATTATCACTGTAGTCAGTGATCATTTGGCATGGAAGGAGTTAATTTTATTAAAGCACTTTACACTGACCACGGAAGCACAGAGAGGCGGATCAGAAGTCCCTGCAGCACAAGTGCTCGCTCTGACAGCGACAGCGCAATCAGGTGCTCCCGGTCTACCTCGAACACCGAGGAAGACTGGAGGAGTGTTAACCCCGCAATCGCCGTGATTGCAGCAATCTGGGGTTAACTTTTTAACAAATGTTATGAAATATTTCCTTTGAGCTATTTTCAAATTGTTGATGTACATATTATGCTTTCAACAAATGAAAGACCGTGCTTTGAAATACGGTGTCTTTGCTAAAGGAGCTTAAATAAATCTTTGAAAACCTTGTGATACCTGTCTAGGTGTATTTGCATATTCAGAATTGCATTCTGACAGAATTGTTAAAGCATCACCTCTTAGTTCAGTTCCCTAAGGGAGACTTTTACTAAAACTTGCCTTGGGATATTCAAGGAATGCATCCTAGTTAACGTGAATAAGCAGGATATTTTTAAATCACTTTTGATATCACCACTAGTTTAATATGGCTTAGATATAAGATATTCCCTGCTGATAACAGATCATTGTATTGAAATAGAAGCTTTCTCTGTAGATGATCCATTTGACGAGGTTGATCCACTACAGTAAATTGATTTTTCAGTTACAAAGACATACTTTCAATATTAATGTGCATTATTTGCCTTTAGAAATCGATTTCAGCCATAATGACATGTTATTAAGATGAGGTCATGAGGTTTTCTTCTGATCAATGCATTTCATGAAAAGATTGAACCCGGAGCAATCTATTCATTTTCCCAATCCATTTAACCACTTTAGGGCTGGGGTTAAGCAAAGTGACAAATTGTTGTGGTATCCGACCTGCTGTTGAAAGAGTTGAAGAGATAATTAACGTGCTTTATATTAAGATATTGTTTTGCCCTAACTTCTCTGGATGTAAAAGTAAAAAATAAATATGTTACACTGATAAAATGAAATATATATGTATCTGTGCAATGGTAACATGATTTTATGGTAACATGGCCATTTCATTACTGCCAAGGAATGTCATGGCTTCATCATTAAACATACACAGTGATTTACAGTGAAGTTATAAATTGATTTTCATGTCAATAAGTGAAATAAGTATTAGATCCCCTATAAATCAGAAAGATTTCTGGCTCCCAGGTGTCTTTTATACGGGTAACGAGCTGAGATTAGGAGCACTCTCTTAAAAGGGAGTGCTCCTAATCTCAGCTAGTTACCTGTGTAAAAGACACCTGCATTGAAAGCCAGGGCATTGAAAATGGGTCATGGATGGGTATTTCAGCATGACAATGACGCAAAACACACAGCCAACAGCAACAAAGGAGTGGCTCAAGAACTAGTATATTAAGGTCCTGGAGTGGACTAGCCAGTTTCCAGACCTTAATCCAATCGAAAATCTATGGATGGAGCTGATGGTTCGAGTTGCTAAACATCAGCCTCGAAACCTTAAAGGACCACTATAGTGCCAGGAAAACAAACTAGTTTTCCTGGCCCAATAGGGTCTTTAGATTCCCCCCACCCTCAGGGTCCCACTCCCGCTGGGCTCAAGGGGGCTAAGCACCAGGCTCCCTTGGTGCTGGGGAACTCTCCTCCTCCTCCCGACGTCAGCACAAGAGCCGTGCGCACATTCATACAGTCCATAGGAAAGCATTTCTCAATGCTTTCCTATGCACGTCAGCGTCTTCTCACTGGGATTTTCACAATGAGAAGCGCAGAAGCGCCTCTAGTGGCTGTCAGTGAAACAGTCACCAGAGGCTGGATTAACCTTTGTGTAAACATAGCAGTTTCTCTGAAACTGCTATGTTTACAGCTGCAGGGTTATAACCTGGGGGACCTGGCACCCAGACCACTTCATTGAGCTGAAGTGGTCTGGTTGCCTATAGTTGTCCTTTAATGACTTGTAGAGGATCTGCAAAGAAAAGTGGGACAAAATCCCTCCTGAGATGTGAGCAAACCTGGTGGCCAACTACAAGAAACTTTGACCTCTGTGATTGCCAACAAGGGTTTTACCACCAAGTACTAAGTCGAAAGGGTGCAAATCAATGTATAACTTTTTTGACATGCATTTTTCTGGATTTTTTTTTCTTATTCTGTGTCAGTGGGCAAACGTTCAAAATCAGCCGGGGATCAAATACTTTTTTTTCCCTCACTGTAATCACTGGCAGTTACTCGTTACGACCTATGAATCTGGTTTTGTCAGATGCATTCTATAAAAGGTACCATGCTCTAGGCCCACCTTTATTTATATGCCAAAAATGGAGTCACATTGTTTTGCCTCTCAAATCCTCCCTTTCACGGAGACAGACTGAATTAAAGGACCACTATAGTGCCAGGAAAACATACTCGTATTCCTGGCACTATAGTGCCCTGAGGGTGCCCCCACCCTCAGGGTCCCCCTCCCGCCGGGCTGGATGGAGAGGAAGGGGTTAAACTTATCTCTTTCTCCAGTGCCGGGCGGGGAGCTCTCCTCCTCCTCTCCTCCCTCTTCTCCTCCTCTTCGGCTGAATGCGCATGCGAGGCAGGAGCCGCGCGCGCATTCAGCCAGTCTCATAGGAAAGCATTTACAATGCTTTCCTATGGACGCTGGCGTCTTCTCACTGTGATTTTCACAGTGAGAAACGGCTGGATTAACCCTAACACAAACATAGCAGTTTCTCTGAAACTGCT